AGTAATGTCACCAAATCGGCATCTGTATTAATGAATGCTGCTCTAAAATGACACACACAAAAGATTATCCAGTTAATTGTACAGAACCATCATCATTTCTGAATATATTTTTCTGATACTTTGAGAATCTGCATTTTCAAAATACCATTGATACATTTCATGGTATATTTAATGAACTGAAATTAAGGGTTGCCATGAATGAAAGATTTTTAGAGGCCTTTAGACTTTAGTGCCATCATATTTCTAATCCCTAAATGCTTATATTTTCTGTGTCACGGCTTGATTTTTGCCCCCAGGCCATAATTATCATTCCTGTTGTGCATGACACAAGAGGCATTAGAGAGGTCAAATGGAAAAGCTTCAGGCAAAACATTTGGGTGTTAGTTCTAAATGAAATGTGAATATAGGTGCTTTTGACTTTGTATCCTAAAGATCAGATACATTGCTTTCTAAGGTATCATTTTATCCTGTTAGAGCAACAAACTTTGAGACACATTGCTGCTGGTAATTTTTGTAGACAGACACAAAACAGTTCCACTTATTAGATGGCATGATAATGATAAATACAATTAATATTGTTTTTACAAAAAAATATGAAAAATGTAGTGTGCTTTTGTACTGTTAAATCCATTCTCTGTAAATAAAAAAGGCTGGAACTTCAAACTGACCAAGAAATGGCCTTCCTTCTTAACTTAGAGCATTAATCAAAAAAGCAGCCTAGACACCAGTGTCGACTATGGGAGCAATGCAAAGAGCTCAGGTTAAGAAACTGTTGACTCAGTAGCTATTTGTTGTGCAAAAATTACTGTAGATGTCACTAACAAAGTGACATACTGATCGTTAAAATAAAATCATGTCTTAGTTGTACCTTTTCCATAGGTTGAGTAGGGGAAACAATAAACTTATAAAAGAGAGACAGCTTGTAAAAGGAGACCAAATTACAAAATTTCTGGCCTAAATGCAAAAGAGTTAAAACTACAAATCACCTTAAAAGCAATATCCACTAACAAAAAACATTGTTGTCAGTATCGTGGTGTGAGGATTTTTTTAAGCAGGAAAAGAGAAACGACTCAGAGGTAATCAAAACTTGAAAGGAGCTAATATCAGGACAATGCTGAAGGAAAACTCTGGCAGCACAATCATTATAAACATGGAGTCAGAGGCAGTGAAGATCAAAACTTTTCAGTTGTCACAATGACAAAGCCATTATTCAGCCCTAATTTCTATAGAAATTGTGGTGCAAGACCTTAAAAAAATCAGATGCTCAGACATTTTTCAATCCGAGTTGGTTTTAAGAGGAAGAGGCAAGAATTGCAATCTCTAAATAATTCAGGAATGCCGAAAAATACTTACATCTATCATTGCACCTGAATTAAATATTCATAAACCATGTCTGCCTTTTAATCATATGTAATGGTATAAAGCAATTATTTCTTTTTTCCACTTTACTGTGGTGCAAAGCTTCACACTGTACAACTACACAAACCTGCAAGTTATTTGGATTGTGGTTATAACATTCTAACTTAAACTTAGTAGTAAAAAAAAACTGAGGTTACGAATAAAAAAAACAGCATTTTTTTTATCCTCAATTATACGGTAATATAAAATACGACTTATTTTGACTGATATGGAACAGAGAACAAAAATGCTTATAATTTTTCCTGTAAAACTCACAGGCTTTTATGTTGTCTAATATTACATTATTAAGACTGCCGTACTTATGAATAAAATAATTCCTATACGTGTCATTAATGTGGTTACATCCTTTAGATTATAAATAAAAAATATATAATTCAGTAGACATGTTTCTTTTGTTTTAGGTTCCCTAAGTGTGTCCTTGTACTTTATAAAATGAGGTAATCTCAAAAGACATAACGCTGTTTACAAAAGTCTTGGTGTTCAATCATACAAATTATTTGGGAAAACTCAGATGTTTGAAGAGAAAAGAAAAGGAGCATACTGATGCAACCATCTCCAGTTGTTAGCTGGTGAGACCACAACTCAAATTCCGGTTAATTCTAGTGTAGTTGCTAAATTTATATCTACAGGAGTCATTAATTATATTTTTTATTTTCACTCTCAGTCCCTGATGACATCAGAGTAGTAAGTATTTATCAGATTTGCAAGGGAAAACCATTCCTAAACAGACATAAAAAACAGTCCTAAGTCAAACTGAAACCATTCCCCTGCAATTAGAATATTTGACCTTTTTTTCCTCAGGTTATGTAGCAAATGTTTGATAAATAGGCAATGTAAGCCATGGCTGCGAAGTGGTGCAGTAGGTAGCAATTTTTCCTTGCAGCAAGACGGTTCTGGGTTCAACTCCTGGCTGGGAGTCTTTCTGCATGGAGTTTGCATGTTCTTCCTGTGCATGCTTGGGTTCTCTCCGGGTACTCCGGCTTCCTCCTACAGTCCAAAAACATGACTGTTAGGTTGATTGGCCTCTCTGAATTTTCCTACGGTGTGAGTGTGTATATTTTTCTGTGTTGCCCTGCGACTTACTGGCGACCCGTCCATGGTGTACCCTGCCTCTCGCCTATTGACTGCCAGAGATAGGCACCTGCACCACTGCAACCCCGACAAGGACTAATAGGGAGTAAATGGATGGATGGATAGACAATGCAAGTGCAACACAGTTGTTACTAAATGAATCGTAAAGTAAGTTTAACTTAGCAAAGTTTTATGTATGAGAAATTAAATGTTGGGCCAGAAGGTTCGGCTATGCTCAGAAGAGGTGAAATGAATGAGACTCGGACAAAGAGGTAAAATTATAAATTGCCGGCTTCTTATTTTAATTACGTGGAAAACAAACAGAGAAGAAGAACAAGGAAAAAAAAAATTAAAATATATTTTAACAGAGTTTCCTTTCTATTTTTCTTGGTACCAAAAAATCCTCAGTAATGGAGGTTTCACAATCACAATGGTTTCTTTGAATTCTTACCTGGGTGCACCCTTCTAATTAAACAAATCAGGATTTGTTTCAAAACAAAAGACAGCTTCAATGGCAAAAAAAATGTTCGACTCAGCAACACAGACGTCAAATGTTTTCAACCATGAAAACATTTCCAGGGAATCAACTTTTCTGCACTTGCATACTTATATATATATATATATATATATTATATATATATATAGAGTCCGTAAAAAAAGTCCGTAAAGATTCCAAATGGAAACTCCAAAGGTCCAGGGGAATGTGTGCATGTGTGTAATAGAGAGTAAATGCAAGGCAGAGTATGTGGGACCCTTGTTGCGGTTGGCCTACCAAACCGTGCTGTGCAGCAGGACAAGTTGATCGGTTCGTCTGAGGGATTGGCTCGCCATCAATATCAGATCCATCCAAAATTTAAGGAGAGCAATAAACCTGATCTGTCAACGACAGCATCATAGAATATTCTGAGTTTCAAATATTACATTTCACATTTTGTTAGCACTTAAAGCACTGTGTGTAACATTAAACATGTTTACAAAAAATAAATGGTGAAAAATTTAATATTTCCATAAGTTTAAAATACTTCAGTATTCAGTCTCAATTTAACAGTTTAAACATTCACAGTTTTAAACACATACTTGATGTAAAATAATTAACCTTGAACAGCATCACTCCAATTCTCAGCTTAACAAATATAACTTTTTTTTCCCTAAAGAACATGAAAATAAAGTCCTAATACATATTTCAGTATTTTTACTCCCAGTGAACTTAGAGGAAGTGCAGAAGAACCCTGGACAAAGAAAATAAATCGCTCACCGATCTCACGACAAGAACACAGCAGCATAAAATGTCGCCACCTTTAAGCCCTGCGTCTTTACAACTAAAAGTAAAAAGAACCCAACTAGTTAGTATAATTTTTTTTTAATGCATCGTTTTTGCTGTAAACATGAATAAACACATGCTCGGCATCAATGGTGATCATATTCTCTCTATTTTGTATTAATTTTGTATTAATGTCTTCATACCAAGATTCAATTTCTAATAGTCTGTTTATAAATTAAGGAAATTCTAAACCACAATTAGCTGTTCTGGATTTTATTTAAAGAGATCACATTAAGAACTACTGTAAATGCATATGGACCCCACACTTTTCAGATTTTTACCCAATCATTGGCCACCTCTGTGGCCACCCCTACCATTTCCCCCCCATAATTCTGACAGGAGAAGTTATACTCTCAAATGATACAACAGTAATACTCCCAATATTCAAAACATTTACATTTTTCAGAGATTAACAATTACTTGACAGCAAAAACACTGTGGTTAATTATGCACATAAATATACTAACATTAAAGATAAGAACAGAATTCATGCTCTTTTCAGAACTAGATTTTGTGTTATACAGGGTAAAGAGAAAACTCTAGGAGTCTTCAGTTAAATCATAGATAAATAACTATTCTATTAAAAACTTAGTAAATAAAGATTTTTTGTGACAAAGATGTTCAACCCAGAGCTCAAACCTGGAAGAACTTTATCCACTATACCTTTTATCTAGATGGATGTTTAAATATATGCGTCTATTTGTTAGCAAAGGCTGTAGGAAAGTATAGTTTGTCTTTATTTGGAAATATGGATGTTTTGCTCATTCATTTTCCTGTTGGATCAGTATATATTGACCCTAAGGTTTTGGTGCCGATCCGCGTTGGGCCACCCCTCAGTTTACTTTGGTTATTGCCTGGCCACCCTTATAAAAAATTTCTGGCTACGCCTCTGGACCTTGTACGCAGTATAAATATTTATACATCTCGCAAAATGTTAGTAAAAAATTAAATTATTTAAATTTATTATATTCTCTAAATTAAGTAGCAAATTAAGTGACTGCAGAATAATGCAAATAGTAGTCTCATAAATACATCAACATCTTTCAGAGCACCCAATTTTCTTATTTTGGAAAGGGTAACTTTATAGTTAAGGATTCAAATGTTTTAATACACTGTAGGAATATTTTTGTGTTGACATACAAAGGGATGTGAAACCAGTGGGTCTCAGATGCAGCAAACGGATCAGCTTGTTCCTCCTCCCCCAATGCATCATCACCACAGACTCATCTCTGCCATGTTCTTTCTCCCGTCCTGAAAATAAACCGCATAAACGGTCCGTTTAGTTGCTAATTTTATAAGCTATGATAATGTGGACGCGGTGAACATCAAACGCTGCCCTAAAATTTGTCGACTTAAGGCGGAGGGACGTTGCACAATGGCAGCCGACGCTGAGGGTGAGTATTTTCTTTATGCTAAGCTAACTTAGCTTCTTTTTAGCTTTGAGCTAAACTAACCGTCGTCTAGCAAGGGAGCTGCAGCCAAGGTTGTAGGCCGCGTTGTTGACTTCGGCCGTGACAGAATGTTAAACACCGACATTTTAACAACACATGTTAAAATATGTGACTTTTATATTAAAAGTCGAAAGAAACGGCTTAGTTCATACGTCGACATATAACGAAGATACGGGTAAATACGATGTTAGCACGCAAGCTAGTTTTTGAATTAGCGTACAACTTGAAGGCAAAACGTGTTAATGTTTCAATTGCGAATAATTTCCCCCAAAATAAAATATTCTGGTGGGTTTTTAAAGTCATATCACGGTGTTATTTGTGAGATAGATGGTGCTGCCTGTTGTGAAATGTGTCACACGCTTGTAATGGTGTAAACCTGCTATCTTTATTAGCTCAACATTAGAGTTTACACAACCATTGCTCTTAGTCAGGTTGTGGGACCTGTGTGCTGCATGATATGAGCTTTATGTTGAAGTATTTCACTGTCTTGATGCTTTGGACCGATGTTTGACCGATGTCAAAGCTGGGTGGTGTAAGAGGCAATGTGACGCAGTTAGCCATGTGTTTCTACTCTTCGCCGCATATTTAATTATGTGTTAAGTTGAAATAGGGTTTTTGGGTCGTTCAGAATTTTTGAAGCATGTTAGATTTTATTAAGATAAGTGCATGTCAGATCATCCTGCCTAAAATCACAATGCTGCGCACAAATGTGTAAATTAAATACCTGCACATTCAGTGAATGAATCAGCATCAGAGGAATTGAGCTTGATTTAAAGCAGTCTGTGCAGAAACATAATGGGACTGATATTGATGCAGTGTTGTGGGGTGTTTAACTAAAACAGAGGAAATGTCAGATGTGGGATAATTTTTGTACAACCTGCTTTAAGGGGTGAAGAACCAGGGTTCAGTGGTCCCTGGCCCTTGGTAGCCGGTGTTCTGTCGAATAATAGTAAATACCCATGTGCAAGACATCAGATTTGCATTTATCCATTTAATTTTGTAAGGAAAATACACTTTAAACTACCTCAACGGGCGTGTATCCATTTAGTCATGTACAAAAATAAAAAACTATTTAAAGGAATAGTACACCCAAAACATGATTAGCCTTCATTTTCTACTCACCCCCATGCTGAACAACACTCTGGAGTACTTTTTTGATATCTCAAATGCATCTGGAGATCTGGGAGGCTTCTTGCTGTCTGCTGACATTCAAATAATGGAGGTCTATGGTGCCCGAGGCAGAAAGGTCCATAAAAGTCCACAAAAAACGTGTCAATATTCCTCCATACTGCTCGTCCAATGTATTCCAAGTGTCCTGAGTGGGTAGCGTCCATAATTTACTCGAAACGAAGTCATTTAGAATGTTTTTAGAGCATAAACAGTAGTGTATAGGATTTCCTAAAAGCGCGTTCACGAGTCTACGGAAACCGCGGCAGACCAAACCAGATGAAAGTGCACATTCAGCTCGGCAAAGAACTCATGCTCTTCCTCAACACTGAAGTCCTCAGATATTTTTCTTTCGTTGTTTCTTTCTTTGCACAGGTAAACAGCACATTTCTTCTTCTACGCTTGCATTATTGGCAGAGCAAACGCTGAATGCGCACTTTCGTCTGGTTTGGTCTGCCGCAGTTTCCGTAGACTCGTGAACGCGCTTTTAGGAAATCCTATACACTACTGTTTATGCTCTAAAAACATTCTAAATGACTTCGTTTCGAGTAAATTATGGACGCTACCCATTCAGGACACTTGCAATACATTGGACGAGCAGTATGGAGGAATATTGACACGTTTTTTGTGGACTTTTATGGACCTTTCTGCCTCAGGCGCCATAGACCTCCATTATTTGAATGTCAGCAGACGGCAAGAAGCCTCCCAGATCTCCAGAAGCATTTGAGATATCAAAAAAGTACTCCAGAGTGTTGTTCAGCATGGGGGTGAGTAGAAAATGAAGGCTAATCATGTTTTGGGTGTACTATTCCTTTAAAGAGGAACACCGTTTTTTTTTACATTGGGCCCTTCATTTTACGTTATTACATCATGTTCTACTCACCCATATTAGTTTTGTGTCATTTGGAGCTGTTCCGAAGATATTCGGTTTTGTAATATTCAAGTAACGGCTTCTTAGTCTTCCTATGGGCAACGAGTTGAAGACACAAACTAAACTGTTTATAATTTATGCTTTATGGTGCACCAACATTCATAACATGAAGGCAAATCATTGTCCCCAGACATCCGTGGTTATATTTTTTATATTTATATATTTTTTAAACAAAGCAGAATGTGTATGACGTCATCCGCACACGTTACTTGGATTGCAAAAACCGAATATCTTTGGTAAAGCTCCAAGTGACACAAAACTGATATTGGGTAGTGGAACATGATGTAATAACATAAAATCAAGGGGCAAATGTAAAAAAAAAAAAAAAAAAAATAGGTGTTCCCCTTTAAGGTCAGTTGGCCATATGCTTCAAAAAACACCAAAAAGTCATTAAATATAAATATACATTTTCTTGTACATGACTAAAGCATACACGCCTGTTGAGGTAGTTTAAAGTGTATTTTTCGTACAAAACTAAAGGGATAAACGGGTTTTGACTATGGGTATGGGGTGGTGGAAATAATCATTTTGGCGATATATCGTGATATTCGGCTGCTCAATATAATATCGATCTTTCACTTCTTAGTATCGATTTAAAAAAAAAAAATTGTTACATAAAACATAGATGGGAAAAGGGGCTACCTCTGCACCACCACTCTGGCAGAAAGCGCTGTGGAGCCCTTTAACTGTGCGTGCAGCACCAAATCTGTATTTGAGGCAGTCACAGTGGAAGCAAACCCCAAACAACATGGATAATAATACCTAATCAATATTTTCTGATGAAAATATACAGCACTTCCTGTTTTATCTCATCATTTGATTTTGATAGCTGGGGAAAATATGGCAATACAGGTGCTGGTCATAAAATTAGAATATCATGAAAAAGTAGATTGATTTCAGTAATTCCATTTAAAAAGTGAAACTTGTATATTATATTCATACATTACATACAAACTCATATATTTCAGATGTTTATTTTGTTTAATTTTGATGATTACAAATGACAACAAATGAAAATCTCAAATTCATCATATCAGAAAATTAGAATATTACTGAAGACCAATAAAAACAAAGGATTTATAGAAATGTTGGCCAACTGAAAAGTATGAACATGAAAAGTATGAGCATGTACAGCACTCAGTATTTAGTTGGGCCTCCTTTGGCCTGTATTACTGCCGCAATGCGGCGTGGCATGGAGTCGATCAGTCTGTGGCACTGCTCAGGTGTTATGATAGCCCAGGTTGCTCTAATAGTGGCTTTTGCTCTTCTGAATTGTTGGGTCTGGTGTATTGCATCTTCTTCTTCACAATACCCCATAGATTTTCTATGGGGTTAAGGTCAGGAGAGTTTGCTGGCCAATTAAGAACAGGGATACCATGGTCCTTCAACCAGGTACTGGTAGCTTTGGCACTGTGTGCAGGTGCCAAGTCCTGTTGGAAAATGAAATCTGCATCTCCAAAAAGTTGGTCAGCTGCAGGAAGCATGAAGTGCTCTAAAACTTCCTGGTATGTGGCTGCGTTGACCCTGGACCTCAGAAAACACAATGGACCAACACCAGCAGATGACATGGCACCCCAAACCATCACTGACTGTGGAAACTTTACACTGGACTTCAAGCAACGTGGATGAAGTGCCTCTCTTCTTTTCCTCCAGACTCTGGGACCTTGATTTCCAAAGGAAATGCAAAATTTACTTTCATCAGAGAACATGACTTTGGACCACTCACCAGCAGTCCAGTCCTGTTTCTCTTTAGCCCAGGCAAGACGCTTCTGACGCTGTCTGTGGTTCAAGAGTGGCTTGACACAAGGAATGCGACAGCAGAAACCCATGTCTTTCATACGTCTGTGTGTGGTGGTTCTTGAAGCACTCACTCCAGCTGCAGTCCACTCTTTGTGAATCTCCCCCACATTTTTGAATGGGTTTTGTTTCACAATCCTCTCCAGGGTGCGGTTATCTCTCTTGCTTGTACACTTTTTTCGACCACATCTTTTCCTTCCCTTCGCCTCTCTATTAATGTGCTTGGACACTGAGCTCTGTGAACAGCCAGCCTCTTTAGCGATGACCTTTTGTGTCTTACCCTCCTTGTGCAAGGTGTCGATGGTCGTCTTTTGGACAACTGTCAAGTCAGCAGTCTTCCCCATGATTGTGTAGCCTATAGAACTAGACTGAAAGACCATTTAAAGGCTTTTGCAGGTGGTTTGAGTTAATTAGCTGATTAGAGTGTGGCACCAGGGGCCATCAATTTTGAACCTTTTCACAATATTCTAATTTTCTGATATGATGAATTTGAGATTTTCATTTGTTGTCATTTGTAATCATCAAAATTAAACAAAATAAACATCTGAAATATATGAGTTTGTATGTAATGTATGAATATAATATACAAGTTTCACTTTTTAAATGGAATTACTGAAATCAATCTACTTTTTCATGATATTCTAATTTTATGACCAGCACCTGTATATAGTGATACTGCAATATCGTGATAATATCGTATCGTGACCCAAGTATCTCGACATGTATCGAATCGCAACACTCATGCCAATACTCACCTCTAACTATGGGTATGCTGGTCTGACCGGGTATGCTTATCTGACAGAACACCGGCAATTATCAGTCTTAATGACTTTGATTTGTAAGGTTGGCTGCAGCAGACTTTATGATGTGCTTTATTTTGTAAAGCAAAAGGGAAAAAGTAGCTCTAAATGAATACATTGGATGGAGATTTAAATTAGATTTCCAGCTTTAATTACTCGACTGATCAGTTAATCTTTTTTAAGGCTGGAGATTTTTTTTGTATTTAGCAATTCAATTACTTTATGATAAAAGTGATCAATTCTATGGT